TTTAATTTTGTCGAAAAATTTCACACCTCGAATTTTTTTTCCGAAAGTGGGTAGGATTTCGAGGGTATGTCTAATGACCAAAACTAATTGAAATTGACCTTTGCAAACGAAAATAATTTTTCCAGAACGATTAGAAATTTTTTTTTTTAAATTTGTTTTTCATTTTTAATAAATTTGTTTTACGCCGTGCAGAAAAGTTGTTTAATACTTTGTTATAGGTACCCATGGGCTCAGCTTCAGAAAAAAATTTCAATGAGATACTTTTACTATTGTAGGAGTTATGGCCGTTTGAAAATTGGACCAGTTTTAGGGGGTTTCCACATTTTACGGTATCAAGGAACAACTTTTACAATATTGTTACAATTTCGACATATTCTCCACTAAAATACGCGTTGTTTGCATTTTGAAAAATTAAAATCCTCCAATCCGTTCAGGAGTTATGACATTTTAAAGATTCGCATGAAATTTCAGGAAAGCATTTCTGACCTCACTTAGGTACGAAATTAAAATTTTGATTAGTTTTCAATTGAACGATGAAAATTAATTGTAATATTAATTTACGATCAATTACAATAAAATTATTATGAAATAATTTTTTGAAGAAAAAAAATTGCTAAATAATAAAAATATTAGGTACGAGATTAAAATTTTGATTAGTTTTCAACTGTCCAATGAAAATTAACTGTAATATTAATTTACGATCAATTACAATAAAATTATTATGAAATAATTTTTTGGGAAAAAAAAAATTAAGTATGAGATTAAGCATTTTCGGTAAAGAATTTTTTTCTCGAAAGTGCGTAGGAATTCGGGGGTATGTCTATTCACCAAAAATGATTGTAATTGAGCCCCGCAACTAAAAATAATTTTTTCAGAATGATTTGATATTTTTAAATTTAATTTTTTAATAACTTTTTAATGAAGCTTTGGTCAAGAAATTGCTATCCTTGATTTTCGTCTTATTTTGGCCTCTAGAATCTTCCATTAAAATTTTTCCCAGGGATGACCGAACACCCTGTATGTAATTGTTAAATAAAACTATTGTGTATATTATTGTAATAATGTCACTGAAAAATATTTCTTCTGATGAATAAATTTATAGATAACTGCTTTTGTAAAATGCAAGTGACAATTTATACAAACTGTAAGTACAGTTGATTAATTAACTAAGGTTCAAAAGGAACTACAAGAATTCACATAAGACTAGTAACATAAGTAATCTTAAATATGTATATTCTTGTATGTCCTTCTATAATTAACTCTCATCTAAAGTCTATTATGTTATTGTTGATTCTAAGTTTCATAAAATTAGTACAAACTCGTTTATTACACGATTGGAAAGCTCCCCAATTATGTTGGCAATGTATTAATGAGTTAAGAGAAATTAATTCTCCAATCGAGTCGTTAAGGAAAATAAACTTGGATAGTATCGATGAAAATTGACAAAATTACGGAAATAAGTTACACATCAAAATTTTGAGTTACGCGAGTTTTTAATTTTCCAAAAATAAAATTTTAGAAAATAAAAATATCAGACTCGTTTTCAAATTGACTTTCGTTTACGATACCGTTCATAAGATTAGGATTTCTTAAAGAATTTTTTGGATCGAATTATTATTATATTTTTATTCGTTATTTATGAATAAAATTTGTTCAACTTTGTTTGGCGGTCAATGCGTTAAATTGACAACCAGATAAATACGGGATAAAGTCTAATTTACGAACGAATCTAAAATGTGTATTCGTTATTCACGAATAAAATTCGCTATTCTTTGGCAGAATTTTATTCGAATAAATAGCGACGAATAAAAACACCGTGTAACGATTTAAGGTCTATTTATATCCACGTGACGAGCCATGGATGAGTAGAAGAGCTCAATGATTACCGTCGAGGCACCTATTGATAGCATTTTATCATTATTTTTTATTATTTGTTAATACATCCTTGCAAAGTTCAATGAATGAATGCACTCAATTGCATAGTCATTTGAAAAAACCAACTTCGCAGCTACACCAACAAGGTTCGTACGAATCTCACGATTGATTCGTTGACTTCAAGTTTTCAACGAACTCGGTCAGTTCTCGTTCCACACTTATGTTATTGGACAGTGAAAATTATACAAAAAGTTGTGAATGAAGAAAAATTAATACAATTGGTGAGAGAACATAATATTTTTTTGACATATCATATGCAAAATGCATGGATTGAAAATTCAGGGTGTTCGACCACCCCTGGGAAAAATTTTAATGGCAGATTCTAGAGGCCAAAATAAGACGAAAATCAAGAATATCAATTTCTCGACTGAGGCTTCATTAAAAAGTTATTAACAAATTAAATTAAAAAATTTCAAATCATTCTGAAAAAATTATTTTTGGTTGCGGGGCTCAATTACAATTATTTTTGGTGAATACACATACCCTTAAAACCCTACCCACTTTCGAGAAAAAAATTCAAGTAGGTACTGAAATTTTTAAACGAAATTAAAAAATTTTAGATCATACTAACAAAATTATATTTAGTTACAGGGGTCAATTACAAGCATTTTTGGTGACTAGACATACCCCGAAATTCTATGCACTTTCGAGAAAAAAATTCTGTACCGAAAATGCTTAATCTCATACTTAATTTTTTTTTTCCCAAAAAATTATTTCATAATAATTTTATTGTAATTGATCGTAAATTAATATTACAGTTAATTTTCATTGGACAGTTGAAAACTAATCAAAATTTTAATCTCGTACCTAATATTTTTATTATTTAGCAATTTTTTTTCTTCAAAAATTTTTTCATAATAATTTTATTGTAATTGATCGTAAATTAATATTACAGTTAATTTTCATTGGACAGTTGAAAACTAATCAAAATTTTAATCTCGTACCTAATATTTTTATTATTTAGCAATTTTTTTTCTTCAAAAATTTTTTCATAATAATTTTATTGTAATTGATCGTAAATTAATATTACAATTAATTTTCATCGTTCAATTGAAAACTAATCAAAATTTTAATTTCGTACCTAAGTGAGGTCAGAAATGCTTTCCTGAAATTTCATGCGAATCTTTAAAATGTCATAACTCCTGAACGGATTGGAGGATTTTAATTTTTCAAAATGCAAACAACGCGTATTTTAGTGGAGAATATGTCGAAATTGTAACAATATTGTAAAAGTTGTTCCTTGATACCGTAAAATGTGGAAACCCCCTAAAACTGGTCCAATTTTCAAATGGCCATAACTCCTACAATAGTAAAAGTATCTCATTGAAATTTTTTTCTGAAGCTGAGCCCATGGGTACCTATAACAAAGTATTAAACAACTTTTCTGCACGGCGTAAAACAAATTTATTAAAAATGAAAAACAAATTTAAAAAAAAAAATTTCTAGTCGTTCTGGAAAAATTATTTTCGTTTGCAAAGGTCAATTTCAATTAGTTTTGGTCATTAGACATACCCTCGAAATCCTACCCACTTTCGGAAAAAAATTCGAGGTGTGAAATTTTTCGACAAAATTAAAAAATTTCAAATCATTGTGGAAAAATTCTTTTCGGTTGCGGAGGTCAATGGCAATAATTTTTGGTGGATAGACCTACCCCCGAAATCCTACCCACTTTCTAGAAAAAAATTCAGTACGGGCGGAACTTTAAACGTTAATAACTTTATAACGAAGCCTTCACCAACAAATTAGTATTCTTGATTTTCGTCTTATTTTGGCCTCTAGAATCTCCCATTGAAGTTTCTCCCAGGGATGGCCGAACCCCCTGTATATGAATTGGACTGATGAATGATATAGTGTATTTTTTTCGAATGAAAAAACCTTCAATTTGCATATATCAGACAAGTATGCATATTATCATCATGATTTATGAAAAGAAGACAAAAATTCTGTCTTGACTTCAGGGATGTACTGGTTCCATTTGATATGGGGTGCGGATTCTATTTCAAAGTCATTGATTTGGCAATAATGGGAGACAAATGCAAAGCGGTAAAATAATATATAAATATTTTAAGGAATGCTTTGGTTAAAATTGATTGTGTTGTAGAACAAAGAAGTTGGTTTTTTCAACGTGGTAGCACCGCAAGATGCTCTGAACGTGTGCTGCAAGGGTGGTTTCGTAATCAAAGTATTGATAATCTTCCAATATCTGTGTTACCAACCGATTTAAATATCATAGAAAATGTCTAGAGATATAGGAATAGTTCCGATCTTATTAGTGATGAACTTATTATTAAATTAGCAAGGAGTAAAGTGGAATGTTGAAGTCATAAGAAGTAATCATACACGTACTAAATATTATATTAATAAATTAAAACATTGTAAGTTGTACATTTTCATCAATTTTTTAAAACGAGGTCATTAATGTGATTTGTGTTAAAAACCATATCTTTGGATTTTGTTTACAATGTCAAGTAATATAAACACTCTTCAATTTCCAAATACAAAAAACAACATATACAAATAAAAAATAAAATGTTTAAAAAAATCTTTACATTACATTTACATTACAAATAGTATATATAGAAAATAGGTAATGTTATACAACTCTATATTTCGTCTGAAGAAAAATTTTTTCAAAGCAACAAAATTAAGCTCAATATAGAATCGCAAGAACCACCTAGAGCGATTCGTCGCAGAAAATGAAACGTAAGTTCTTCGAGAAAGGGATTACGAAATCGATGAAAATATTGCATATAATACAAAAAAAAAATATATATTTTCTACAAATCTACCGAGTTTGAATATCACCCACATTTCACTATGATTTTCTCGAACAACCTAATAATTCGATCGTAGAGAAAAAGGAGCGGAGAGTCGTCCTCTTCGTCATCTTTTGTCCGTTTATGCGAAATTTGTATGCAGATAAGAATTTTTGCTCATCTCTGATTTCAGGGACAACCTGCGCTTCTTATCTAATTGTTCATACAATGGAATCGTTCGTTGCTACCATAATAGACGAAGGTTAAACGCTTTTGTACGCGCTATATGAATGTATGCCTGGTTCGTAGATTACGTGTACAATCCGAAGGAGGCGAGGCTGCGGAAGGCGATGCGCGAACAGAGTCGCGAGCTCTCGAGACGCTCGATTCTTCAAAACGCGATCGCTCGGGCAGGTGTGGTCGCTGGCCCGGTCGCGTCTTCCGGTTTCCTGGACCACCAGCATCGTTTTGGCTGCGTGTCAACGCCGGGGTTACCCATCAACGCCACCGTGGAGTCCGATCGAGTCGTGGAGCCGTGGTTTCAATCGGCGCAACGCCCAAAACCGATCCACTCGCCGCGAATGGCCGATTGGTACGGCAACGTTGGCGATCCGATCGAGAGATTGCAAGTCATGGGCACGATGCATCAACGTGGAATGGACAAGTGCAAGGACGTGAACAGAAATCAGGTTGTAGCCAGCATGGCCACTGCGGGGGCCGGGGAATGTAACGCCGCGTTCTCCAACAGCGGATATCCGTCCGTTGATTTTAGCGACGTCAATCGGGAAAGGGAGTTACGCAGACAAGAAAATATCGCGGAGTACGCTGAATTCACCGATGGCCAGAAATGGCATCCTTATCAAGTGGGTATCCTTCTTTCTTTGCCCAAATAGTAGGAGAGACTGATGACTGTTGTAGCACTGTAAATATCTAAAAGTATCACCAGGGTGTATGGCAGTCGGCGGTACAATAGGATGTACCTTAGTTACTCTTGGTCAAATATGTTTTTCAAAATTTCAATCGTGTGACCGAATTGATTTGAGAACAAATAATTTCTACAAAAAATCAAGTCGATTGGATAGGAGAAAGACGTGCCACAATGGCTTTGTTTATGTAAAAAAATTAAGTTTCATTAGAGATGGGAAAATACTGATTTTATCACATTCTTTGGTTAGTACAGGATAATTTAGACTAAAATCTGTATAATTATAATGTATTGTAGCGGGAAAAAGTTAATTATTCAAAATTAAAAGAATTTGTTTAAACGATAAATGGAATATACATATAGTGTCGTATGGAATTTTCTTCCATCAGGAAGAAAATTGTTGGGTCAAGGATTTATTCTCCTAGAAGATAATGACTCCAAACACACCTCAAAATTATGTCGCAGATATTCGACGTACAGTAGGGTGGACCTTAGTTACTCTTGGTCAAAAATTTTTTTCAAAATTATGATCGTGTGACCCACCCCAATTTGTTCCATTTTGAGAACAAATAATTTCTATAGAAAATCAAGTTGATTGGATAACAAAAAGACATGACACAACGGTTTTGTTTATGAAAAAAATTAAATTTCATTAACACTTTGACTGCCACGTCACCCATATATGGGCAACAGGATTTATATGATATTAGAAAAATTAATTCTCAAGTTAAGACGTTGAGGGAAATAAATTTAAATAGAATTTGTGAATTTTAACAAAATTACGAAAATAAGTACTGAAACAAATTGTAGGTTATGTAGCTTACAATGGTCTAGAATCAAAATTTTACTTGTGCAGAATATTATACGGTTTTGATGTGTCAGTGAACGTGTTAAAGAGGGGAAAATACTAATTTTACCACGTTATTTGATTAGTACAGGACAATTTAGACTATATAATTATAATGTATCATAGCGGAAAAAAGTCAATTATTAAAATTTAAAAGAATTTGTTTAAACGATAAATGGAATATTTAGTGTCGTATGATTTCATACGAAAACAATATAATCTCAGAGAACGTAAAAATACAATTTTTATTTAAAGTTAAAATTAACTTTCATGTAAAGGAAAGAGGTACAAGACACTAGAAATAACTTCGTAAATATTCATATTTATTGCTACCTTTGCTCTAGTGTTTTTTTATCTATAAGGTTGTTTATATTTTGATACAATTTGTAGGCTATCCTGTTTTTCTTTTTCATTTTCCGTAATACAAACCATATATTTTTTCATTAGTTCAATCGTTCCTCTACATCGTTGATTAGTTGTTAATTGTGAACAATTTGTATCGCTTCATTATAATTATCATCTGTTTCCCATAACGCTGTGTCTTTACGTAAAAAATCTGTATGTATTTGAAACCAAGAAAAAAAATTTAAACATTTGGATAGAAATGAAATTATCAATAATAACCTTTGTTTACTGTTTTACGTCTTTTATACGCATAATTAATTTCTTTAAATTTTGCTGACAGTCGTTTTCAAGGGCTCGAAACATTTTTTTCTTCATTTCTGCAGAAATATCCAAGTCAAAGAAAGAAAATTCTATATTCTCTAGTGACAAATACCATAATTGATTGCAGAATTTTTGAAGTGTTGCATTATTTATTGTTTCATCAATGTGTTTGTATTGATATAAATTATTTAAAAATTCGAAATCTAATCGTGGTGCTATTGCTGTTACGGTGGTACGAATCCAAGGTAAAATGTAGATTAAAAAAATACAAATACTTTGAATTCCCAGTTTCTCCTCATTACTTAAGAGAAATTCATTTCGAAAAATTCCCGTAGATGGAGTTTCGCCCAGAAAAATAATCATTTGTTTTATGAGCTCTTTATAGTTGTCTCTTTAGATAAATGTTATAATTAAATGACACTTTTATTAAAAAATAACAACTTCTTCATCCGAAATTTGAAAATAGAGTTACAGATAGGATTGGAGTAAATTACTGAAATTCCCAAACTTCGAGTACCCTTTCTCATTGTCCTATTGGCTTCCCCTTTTGCAGGAATTATTTTGTTATCAAATTGAACAAATCCTGGGGGTCGCACATAAAAATTTCGATAATCAAAAATAAGGTCCACTCTATCGGTACAAACGCCAACGTGACGATTCTATATGAAAAAATGAATAAAAAATGTGGATTAAAATTTTTTCATGCGAGGCTTTATTGAAAATAAATGGCTTGGAAAATTTATTGGGTGTGAGCACCAGAATGCCTCGGTTTACCAGATTTCTTTGTCTGTTACATGTATCTCTACTCGAATTAATTTTAATCGATATTCGTGGTTACACCCAAAATTGAACGTTCACTTTCGAATCAGATTCTTTTATTAATCTGCTTGTTATAATGTTATCACTTAAGATATTCCTCAAAATATTGCCGATTTTGGTGCACACATAATCGTAGTCTTTTTAATAAATTCCAATAAACCTTTCCAATGTAACAGTTTACATTTTCAATCCTTCGAATTTTATAATAATTTGCCTTAACTGTCCAATACAAACGATACTGCTTTACATCTTTTGTTTTTCAAAATTCAGAATGCTACGACCAAGTCCGTAGTATTAAGGCAACCGTCGCGTTTCCCACAAATTTTCAAAGTTAATTTCCTTGAAAACAAAGCCTCGAATAGAAAAATTTTATTTCATATTTTCGATTCATTTTTTGATGTAAAATAACCACACTTGTGCTTGTACATACCATTGCTTATTGGACATCCGGTATATGACGAATATTAACACAAGTTTCTCTTAGCAAATATAATTCTTCTTTCTTTTCTGAAATATAATTCTTGTTTCAAATCTTTAATTTGATTTTTTACAAAGAAATACTCATCGTTACATAGCACTCATGATCGTGCCATTAATGATAATTAAAGTTCATAAATGCGATTGGGGACGATTGTAACGTTTTAGCCGATTCAAAATGAAAAAAGAACTAATACACTTCTAAAGATAGGATATAGGGCTTGGAACCAAGTTTTTACCTAAGATCAAGAAAATTTAATTGTAAAATATGTAATAAAAGCAACACTATCTCTAACCATTATTTCTAATCTTCATTTTCTATTTCTAACTTTTTCAACTATCTACATACCGAAACATTAATTTCTTTTTTTTTAAATCATCGGTCTCTCCTAGGGTAGCACTGAGTCAAGAGTAATAGAGGGTGAAAATAACAGATTTAATATCTTAACATGCAATCATAATACCTATTACACTGAAATAAATGTTTCAATTCAATGTTCTGAACTTACCGCTATGTCTCGAATAGAGAAATTGCAAGTTAGCTAAGTTACTTTTGAGGGTAATTAGAAAATTATATTAATTTTATTTTCGTTTGAAGTACCTATTTGTATTATACTTTTCGAAATCTTGATTTACTATTATGTTGGAGAGTAAGGGGGGGGGGATTAAAAGATTTGAGATGTTGAGATGGAGCACGAATCAAAAAAATGTTGGGGAACATATCTTTCTCTTTCGTCTTGAGTCTAGTTTTTTCTTACAAATTTACTCAAAGCATGACCTCTCATTGTCCTTAATTACCAATTACAGAACGGTGGAAGTTCTCATCAGCATCCCAGGACGTCTCATCCTGCGCAGATGGGTGGAATCCTTCACCCGAGCGTTCAGAGTCAAAGTTCGCATGGACATGGACCATGGGGCCAATTTTGTCATGGCGTATTACCGCGTAAGTGTGTCCATAACTTAACAATTGAGATTCATGGGGGTTTTCAATTAAGTTAGCTCAAATGATGTGGAACCCAAGTTCCTATATTCTGTACTTTTTCAACCATTCAAAATAAAAATCTGAACAACGCGTTTTCTCGGATAATTTACGAGGTGAATGTCATGAGTCATTACAAACTTCCTCATCTAACTAAAATTGATCATGAAACTATTTATCAGAGAAAACACTAAGAAGTTATAATTTACGCATAAAATACTTAAATATTAATGTACTAAAATATTAAATTGGTAAAAAATTCATCACACAGTTTTGTTTGTAGCAAAGAGAAAAGAAATATTATTAGAACTGAGAATATAAGTAGTGTGGAATTAAATGATAGAAATTGTGACTTTTTGTGAATACAGAATATTGCCTTAATCTTCATCCACTTCTTTGTTGCGGTTAAGTGTTGATAAAGTATCGAATTATTGTAAACATTTATTTGTAGTCCAGTTTAACGCGTTGACTGTCAGCCCAAACCCTTTAAATTGTTCACAAAAATGGAATTTTGTTTTTAGACAATTGGAAATTTGCATACCCATAATTTGTCATAGAACTTATTTTTATAGCCTCGTTAAAATTCAAGAGTCTTATCTAGATTTATTTATTTTCTTTAACATCTACTCCTGAAAATTAATTTTTTTAGCTCCTTAGTGAAAAGTCATGTCACCATATACAGGGTGTTCGGCCACCCCTGGGAAGAATTTTAATGAGGGAGACTTCGTTAAAAAGTTATTAAGAATTAAATTCAAAAACTTCAAATCGTTCTAAAAAAATTATTTTCTGTTGCGGGGATCAATTACAATAATTTTTGGTGTCTAGACATACCCCCGAAATCCTACCCACTTTCTAGACAAAAATCCGAGACGGTGTGAAATTTTTCGATGGAAAAAAAAAATTTCAAATCGTTCTGAAAAAATTATTTTCGGTTGCGGGGGTCAATTGCAATCATTTCTGGTGAATAGACATAGCCCCGAAATCCTGCGCATTTTCGAGAAAAAAATTCAGTACGGGCGGAACTTTAAACATTAATAACTTTTTAACAAAGCCTCCATCAAGAAATTGGTATTCTTGATTTTCGTCTTATTTTGGCCTCTAGAATCCCCCATTAAAATTTTTCCCAGGGTTGGCCAGACACCCTGTGTATAGGTGACGTGGTAGTCAATGTATTAATATCATAATAATCATAAAACTTGTATTTTCGACTCAAAAAAATTGAAAAAATAGTTATAATAGAAATTATTTGTGCTATTGTTATTGTTAAAGATTAACTGAATATAATTCTTATAATTTAATTTTGTATTTATTTTCATTACATTTTACTCTTGATTTTTTTATTAAAATTTTAAGCGTCAACTTAAATACCGACGCGAGCGTAGATTTATTCCTAATCCGAGAACACCCTGTATCATGGCATTAATCTGTTTTGATGATCAAGTAAATTAAACTAAATTAATTTTTATTTCAATGTCTTGTAATTGATCAAATGTGAAAGTTATTATCGTTATTAATTTTAAAAAACTCTTGATTTCGATTTTGCAGATGTTCCGACTATGCCACGAAGTATGGGCGTTCGTGGACCACGACACACTGTTCTGTTACGAGATCGTCTGCCTGGTAGACATTGCGGATTTCCCGAAGAAACATCACGGTTGCAGTACGTTCCAAACAAACTTGATGTAGAGAATGTGAGGGCATCATACTCGTCTCCTGAGCACCAGGTCTCCTTTTTTTTAATATACATATATACAGGATGTCTCGTAGCACATGGGATTCATTTTATGCAAAAAACAAGAAAAAAAGTTCATTCAAACAAGTGCCCTATTTAACGCTAGAATTACCGACGATTATAATGTATTTATTTGTACCAAAGAAATCGAAACGGTAGATACGTGAAGAAATGTATAATGCAATGGAAATAAATGTTTATTCTTTCTCTTATAGAAAATTATGGTAAATTTTCAAAAATTCAGTCGAGTCAATTTTTTACAAGTTTTATTAAAAATTACGAATAAGTTATTTTGACTGTTTTGGTATAGTCCGGCCCACAATATAGCGAGGTCGTAAACTCGAGTAGGTGTCAAAGTTTACACGTTTCAGCTCCCGAAACAAGTGAATTGACAGAAATACGAGCAGCTAAGGGCCTTAGACCATAGTCAGGGCCGTACGAAGAAATGTTTTATCTAACGTCGCCATTTTTAGAAAACCATTTTCAAAGGTATCGTATCAGATAAAAGTTTTATTCAAGTTTTTAATATCTTTATTTACCTGCTTATAATATATGCATGTAGAAAATGAAAAAAGTAGTGCAGTTACGGGCACAAAAAGATATTCAGAAAGGCACCCTCAAGCAAGATGTACGGCCCTAAGTGCCGCAACAGTAGTCGGTCTCAATCCTCAAGAGTTTAGTTTACGACCTCGCTATAGTTCTAGTGTTAATCTTGTTCTCGAGTTGTAGTTTCTTTTTTAACACACTGTATTTGCTTAACTTCGCAAGAAGTGTTCAAAATAATTAATTGGCTGTCTTACCCTCTCTATTTGTTCAGGTATTCTTCACCCATGGCAAGCCCATACATTAAGTTCATATCTATCATTTCTTGACTAAAAAAACTCTTCATTTTCATTTCCCACGTATTTCAATAATGTGACACCTACTGTTCTAATTATTTATACGTAAGATACTAACAGGAAGCGTTCGCAGATTTAAAATACAAGATTCGACGTCAAGAACTGAATTCTCTTTGGAAATATTTAAATGGAATCAATGTAACTATTTCCATCTTTCGAAAAAATTATTCCAACATAGAATTTGCTATAACTCGAAAACAAGGTTAAATAAGACAAACAGGCTGGTCCACGCAATATGTGCAATTTTATAACTTCCAAAATATGCACGAAAAAATTTTGTATGCAAAAGTTGCATGGTTTAAAGAGGTACATTATACAGAATGTCGGCCACCCCTGGGGAAAATTTTAATGGGAGATTTTAGAGGCTAAAATAAGACGAAAATCAAGAATATCAATTTCTTGATTGAGGCTTCGTTAAAAACTTATTAAAAAATTTCAAATCACTCTGAAAAAATTATTTTTGGTTGTGGGGGTCAATTGCAATCAGTTTTGGTGAAGAGTCATACCCTCGAAATCCTACCCACTTTCGAGAAAAAAATTTGATTAGGTGCTGAAATTTTTAGACGAAATTAAAAAATTTCAAATCATACTAAAAAAATTATATTTAGTTACAGGGATCAATTACAAGAATTTTTGGTGAATAGACATATCCCGAAATCCTACGCACTTTTGAGAAAAAAATTCTTAACCGAAAATCTTATGTGTGGCCAGAAATGGTTCCCTAATTTTTATTCTTCAAAAAATTATTTCATAATAATTTTATTGTAAGTGATCGTGAATTAATATTACAATTAATTGTCATCGTCCAATTGTAAACTAATAAAAATTTTAATTTCGTACCTAAGTGAGGTCAGAAATGCTTTCCTGAAAAATGTCATAACTCCTGAACGGATTGGACGATTTTAATTTTTCGAAATGCAAACAACGCATATTTTAGTGGAGAATATGTGGAAATTCTAACAATGTTGGAAAAGTTATTCCTTGACTCCGCAAAATGAGAAAAACCCCCTAAAATTGGTCCAATTTTTAAACTGCCATAACTCCTACAATAGTAAAGGTATCTCATTGAAATTTTTGTCTGAAACAGAGCTCATGGGTACCTACAAAATAGTGTTAGACAAGTTTTCTGTAGAGCTTTAATCAAAGTTATTACAAATGAAAATCAAATTTTTAAGAAAAAAAATTTCAAATCCTTCTGGAAAAATTATTTTCGGTTGTTGGGATCAATTACAATCAGTTTTGGTCATTAGACATACTCTCAAAATCCTAACCATTTTTGAGAAAAAAATTCGAGAAGGTGTGAAATTTTTTGACAAAATTAAAAAATTTCAAATCGTTCTGGAAAAATTATTTTCGGTTGCGGGGGTCAATTACAATAATTTTTAGTGAATAGGCCTACCCCCGAAATCTTACCCACTTTCTAGAAAAAAATTCGGTACAGGCGGAACTTTAAACGTTAATAACTTTTTAACAAAGTCACCATCAACAAATTAGTATTCTTGATTTTCATCTTATTTTGGTCTCTAGAATCTCCCATTAAAATTTTTCCCAGGGGTGGCCGAACACCCTGTATAGTGTATTTAACTTTCTTAATATTCAACTTTCTTTATTTAAATAGAATACTACATTTTCTATGTCAAAATATGGAAGAATATCGAATTCTGAGTAAGAAAATATTGACCTTTATTAACCCTTAACCTAGTAGCTAACGAGTGATTTCACTTCATTTCTTGACAATTTTCTCCACGTAATATCAAATTGGAGACCCAACCTTATCTGAGATTTCTGTAGAACAGTGAAAATTATCAAGAAATAAAATGAAATTACTCATTAGGCATTACTACTCATTATTTAATATTACGTGAAGAAAATTTTCAAGAAGTGACGTGAAATTACTCATTAGCTATTAGGTTTAGAGCTAGTAAAGGTCAATACTTTTTTACTCAGAATTCGATATTCTTCCATATTTTGATATAAAAAATATAGTAAGGCAAATCTTCGAAAAGCCGCCACCTGTAAAAATAAATAAATGCACTAGATAATGTACCCCTTTAACCTCTTAACATTCATGCCCGAGTCTGACTGCTTTGAAAAACGATATTTGTTTAATCTGACGGTTTAAGGGATGATAATATTGGTTTCCTTCAAATTATACGTTATTTTTAGAAACAAATCCAATAAAGAAAATTGATCATTCTTGGTTAAACCGAAAAATATGAGCGTTAAGGGGTTAAACCGTGCAACTTTTGTATACAAAATTTTTTCGTGCAACGCATATTTTGGAAGTTGTAGAACTGCACAAATTGCGTGGATCACCCCAAATATTTATATGAACTTTTTTAATTGTTTTCATGCGCACTACGGGACACTCTGTATAAATAATAGCAGCAGAACGAGTGCTTGAACGTTGGGGTACTGAAAAACGCAATAATCTATTTCAGATGCCAAGACTACTCGAATCATCAGTCGATTCGGTTGTGGATTCTGCACCCTCGTTAAGGGCTCGTCGCGAGGATGAGGGGCCTAGGTGGGAGCCAAGTTCCATCAACAATGGAATCTCTATGGATAACTTAGCGCCGACAACGGTAATATTTCACTCGATGGGAGATGTTTCAAAAGAGCGTTTCTCAAACTATAGTCCACAGAACTTTGAGGTTTATGAATACAGTGTTTTTGAATAAGAACGATAGAACTTTGAATCGAAGTAAAATGAAAACTAAAAAAGATAATCTAAAAAAATACAATATCATTTCAATGGCCACCATTCTGCGTTTGATGGATGAAATACGATAAATTTCCGATGACTCTCAGACTTTATTTTACTAATAACACGAATGATCTCAGCTTCGTGGCTTGTTCGAATAAATGAGACTTAACATGACCCCACGAGAAAAATTCTAATCGCGCCAAGTGACAAGATTTTTAAACAATGTTATCATTTAATTTCGATTTGAATAAAGCGATAGTTTCTGCAAAAGCATGACATATAACATCATCTTGTTGAAACTACATCCCAGGCAAATTAAATCCATGCGTTTTAAAGAAAAGATGAAATCACAAAACAGCAATACTCGCCAGTAGCAGTCACAGTTACTCTTTCTTAATTTTGAAAAAAAAAAACAAAAGTCAATTACTACATCAATTAAAGAACCACACTACACAGTAGTTTTTTGTGAGTATTAGGGTCGTTCGACTATTAATACTAGAACTACCGACAATTATAGTGTATTTATTTGTACCAAAGAAATTAAAACGATATACGTGAAGAAATGTACAATGCAATGGAAATAAGTGTTTATTCATTCTCTTATAGAAAATTATGGTTTTCAAAAATTCAGTCGAGTAAACTTTTAACAAGTTCTATTAGAAATTACGAATAGATCATTTTGACTGCTTTGGTAGTTCTAGTGTTAACTGAGAATTAACATCTGTCCAAATTTTGACAATTCTGCTTATTGGCAATGCCATCCATCCAAAAGTGAGCTTTTTGGTCAAATCAGAATCAGTTTTTTAAGATAATTTGGATTATTCATTTGTACATACATTTCTTCTTTCTCATTTTTAAATTTCATTTTTAACGTTTTCGAGGAAGTCTAATTAGTCTTATATGTAAACATTGATCAGGTCTGTAAGATTCTACTCTATTCTATTGTCAACATTATTTTATGAATTTTTTCATTTAATTTCTAACATTTCCTATTCTTAAGAGCTTTTTTCAAGGTTTTAATAGATTATTATTATCAAAAATATTATGTATTTTTTATATATAATCATTCTTTTATTGGTGCTTCTTAGTTTATTTACATTGGTATCGTAAAAAGTATACAATTTATTTTGAATTCCTTTTCTAATTCTTACCTGTCGGAGTAAATATGGCCTCGTTTGGTAACTTCCCATTGAAAAAAGTTTAGCATTGCGATTAAAATAATTTCATGGTTATAAATTGGAAAATATAATAATTTTATTCTTGTTCTTTCGGTGATTCATTCGATAACATACATAACATGGGAATTCATCCAGTACCAAGCAGTTCTAGGAATTAGTGAGATGACTCGAATAATATTGAGGGAAAAAGTAGGAAATCATAACGAGCAACCACTGTATAAAGCATTATGAGGCAAATAATCAATGATTATCGAGATATTTGCGATTAAAGCTTTATTATTTGTTTACATATAATTACAGCATTTTATACGCAATATTCATTAATTAGAATAGATAAATTTGAAAAAAGATTCTATGACAGTCGAGAATTGAACCCAAACCTATGACATTGTAGATTACACTTCGTTCAGCGAGAACTGGCAGGAAATATAAATAAACGTCCAACTGACAGAGCAGATATAAAAATTTTAATGGGAGATTCTAGAGGCCAAAATAAGACAAAAATCAAGAATATCAAATTCTTAATTGAAGCTTCGTTAAAAAGTTATTAAAAAATTTCAAATCATTCTGGAAAAATTATTTTCGGTTGCGGGGGTCAATTACAATCATTTTTTATGAACAGACATACCTCTAAAATTCTACGCACTTTCGAGAAAAAGATTCGAGTAATTGATGAAAGTTTTTGGCGAAATTAAAAAATTTAAAATCGTTCTAAAAAAATTCCAATCATTTTTTGTCAATACACATACCTCCGAAATCCTACTTACTTTCGAGAAAAAAATTCCACACCAAAAACATAATTTCAGGCCAGAAATAGTTCCCCCATACGTATCTTTAAAACATCATAACTCCTGAACAGATTGGAGAATTTTAATGTTTTAAAAGGCAAACAACGCGTATTCAGGTGAAGAATATGTAGAAATTCTAAGAATGTTTGGAAAGTTGGTCCTTAACCCCATAAAGTGAAATAAAATTTTTCGGTGAAAAAAAATATTTCAAATCTTTCTGGAAAAATTATTTCCGGTTGCGAGGGTCAATTACAATCATTTTTGGTCATTACACATGCCCCCGAAATCCTACGGATTTTCAAGAAAAAAATTCCTTACCAAAAATGTAATGTGAGGCCAGAAATGCTTCTCTGTAATTTCATACGTATCTTTAAAACGTCATAACTTCTGAACGGATTGGACGATTTTAATTTTTCAAAATGCAAACTACGCATATTTTAGCGAAGAATATGTGAAAATTCAAAAAATACTCGAAAAGTTTTTCCTTGACTCCGCAAAATGAGAAAAACCCCCTAAAACTGGTCCAATTTTCAAACGACCATAACTTCTACAATAGTAGTAGTATCTCATTGAAATTTAGTCTGGAAGTAGAGCTCATAGGTAGCTACAAACAAGTATTAAACAACTTTTCTATAGGGCGTCAAACAAAATTACTAAAAATCAAAAACGAAATTTTAAGAAAAATCGACGTGGGGTAAGATGATGAAATTTTTCGGCTAAGAAAAAATTTCAAATCAGTCTGAAAAAATTATTTTCGATTGTGAGGGTCAATTACAATCATTTTTTGTGAATATACACACCCCTAAAATCCGACGCATCTTCGAGAAAAAAATTCTTTACCGAAAATATACTGTGTGGCCAGAAATGTTTCCCCGAAATTTCATGCGTATGTTTAAAAAATTATAACTTCTAGACGGATCGAAGGATTTTAATTATTCACAATTCAAACAGTGCGTATTAATGGAGTCTAGAGCTCCAGAGAAATGGGCCAATAAAATACATTGGATGTAAGCTCCTACTCGTATAATTTAATGAAGCCTCAATCAACAAATTAGTTTTCTTGATTTTCGTCTTATTTTGGCCTCAAGGATCTCCCATTAAAATTTTTCCCATGGGTGACCGAACACCCTGTATGTACTCCATGACCAAGCGTTGGCCAAGCGTTCGATCACTGGGACATGCCTGATTACTGGACCGTTGTTCTAAACGTTTTCTATTTTAGCAGCGGGAGTCCAGTGTGCCGCGCGAGAAGGAGCGCGAGCCGCGACGATCCGTGGAGAGGTTCGAGCCAAAGAAGAAGACTGTCAGCAAGCCGTTGCCTGGGTTCCATCAGGCGTTCGGCTCGACAGAAATTGGCAGGTTCTCCAGATCGGAGTTCTTCGTGAACATGGTGGGCGAGAACGGTGGAAACGTGGAAGTCGCCGACACGGAAGGCACCAACGTAAGTACAGATCGAATGTCCGAGGTGAACGGGGCCGCAGTGACGACTGCGACGCATGACACGGCTGCGGTCACTGCAACCGCAATTACAACCGTGAGGACTTTCGACGCCGATGAAAACGAGGAGGTAGGATTCGACGACTCTAGCAACGAGCTCGTCGCTCCGACGTCTATTGGCATGTACTGCGGACAGCCAACCACCCCTCGTTGGCACAGTCCTCACGTAGGCGCTATAGGTAGCGAAATTTAAGCGGATCTTTAACCCTTTCGTGGGCTCAAGTGTTTCCCGATCGAAGTATAATTTCTAGACGTTTTCAGGAATGTAAATATAAGGGTACTGGGTGCAACGCGGATATAGTTAACCTTCTATAACCCAAATCATATTTGACTTTTGAAACGCAATATACAATATGACCAGTGGCGGCTCGTCCGTAAGGGCTGGAAAACTGCAGCTCCTAAAATAATGGGTGAAATAAAATTAAATGCCAATCTAAAATTGTTGTATTATTTTTTTTTATTTGATAATTAGACTGTGGATGTTTATGCATTTATGGGGAACTTAAATGATCAAAAAACTGCAGAATGCATTTAATATGCAAGAATATAAGAAATACTTAAAATAAGATGCGAATTATTATATTTAAGGGTTGAGGCAACCCTTTACAAAGCTCCCATTTCATTAATTCTATTGATAAAAATATGAATTTACATAAGGATCCACAGTAAAGGAGCAAAACTGAACACACATATGACATTTTAACAAAAATAATTCTTTATTCAATATTTACATATCAGAATACAAAAAAGACAAAATACTTAGTACTATCTAGGATCTTCTGGCTCTTCAAAACAAATTTAGTATTTGTGATACCATTATTATTTCGTTTCGTACAATTTTTTTTCGTGTAGTCAGTTTTGCACCGCAACTAATTTTGAGTAAACATTTTGCATTTTGGTACACTTAATATTTCGTTCATAAACCTTTAACCTTGATAATTGCTTCAGTACGTTTAAACATATTTAATACAACATTTTTGTGATACTCTGGTGTAATAAAATACAATTGTTCTTGCACTTTATGCCATAAATCAGTTATCGTTGTTGAGAGAGCACTATATTTATTTTCCAATTTCATTTTTAAGTATGCCCAGACATTTTCAATCGAGTTTATGCCTGGGTCTTGAGCAGGCCATTCCATGGTTTGAAATAGTTGAGTTTGCAGCTAATTCTTCATGCTATTCGCACAATGCCTAGAAGCGTTGTCATGTTGGAATACATCATCACACTCTGGTACCAACATATTTTCAATTGTTTCTAGTAAATGTTTTTCTAAAATATACTTATACGTATACTGGTTCACTGTACCTTCTATTCGATATACTGAACTTACAACATATGCAGTAATACACCTCCACACTGTAAGTGAACCACCACCAAATTTCATTGTTTGTTTCACATGACAAGGCAAAAGAGATTCGTCTTGCTTTTACCAACACCAACAATGTTCATCCGATAAAATTAGATTGATTTTTGATTCGTTGAAAATAATTACTTTTTTCCGTTGCTCCATATTCCAGCTTAAATGTTTTCTTTGAAAATTCAGTTGGGCCTTGACATTCTTTTTTGATAGGGCAGGCATTTTTTCTTCTCAATTGCTGTAAAATTGGCTCCTTTAAATGCTCTTCGAGCTGTCCACTTACTAGTTTCCTTTCCAACATCGCTTTCTTATAGCTTTGTAATCATTGATGCTATTGTTGCAATTTCTGAAGTAATGTATCTTGTCAATCTTCTCTTGTCCTGATAAGATAATAATTTTGCATGGCCTCCAAAAAATGCAGGGACTACATTACATTTTCTTTATATTTTATGTATAACTCCCTGACTAACAGCAAATTTTCTAGTAATTACTTGCGTTGATAAACTCAATTTTGATTGGAAAATAATATTATTCTTCATATCTTTAGATAATGGTTTCATGACGTTATATTGACGCGATTCTATTGCACCAGAATATTGCGAAAATGTAGTATTAAGTATATCTAAATGTATCGAATTATCAAGGTTAAAGGTTTATAGACGAAATATTGAGTGTACCAAAATTTGAAATGTTTACTAAAAATTAGTTGCTGTGCAAAACCAACTACACGAACAATTATTGTACGAAGCAAAATAATAATGATATCACAAATATTAAATTTGTTTTATAAAGCCAAAAGATTGTAGATAATATTAAATATTTTGTTTCCTTTATATTCTACATACAAATATTGAATAAAAAATTATTTTTGTTAAAATGTCGTATGTGTGTTCAGTTTTGCTCCTAGTTGTATGTCGCGTTTATTTGGTGATCGTGGCAGTAGATCTAGAGTATGTAATTCAGTAAACATCGTTTGGTTTCAGTTTCTTTATAACGAGCTCTTCGACAAACCGATAATTCCTAACCAATTTCTTCAATTTCTAGGTAGTACAGTGAAAACTCAATAAATGTCCTCAAGAGATGTTCCGTAAATGATACATTTTTATCCCCACCACTAGAGAGATCCCCCTTGAACCAGTAAGGCGAAGTGTAACCGGAGATGTAACAGCTTTCTTTAAAAATCTTTATTGCCTTTTTTACTTTTTATTAATAAAAATTTTACTATCTTGTGGGGGAGATCAAAGTGCTGGGTACATTTATCGAATAGAAGGTAGCTATTTTCAAACGGAACGTTTCTACTGTTCCGTAAGTGATCAGCAACTGCAACACTTATAGTAGACTGCGGATGTTTATGCATTTATGGGAAATTTTAATCCTCAAAAAACTACAGAATGTATTTAATATGCAAAAATATAAGAAATACTTAAAGTATGATACGAATTATTATATTTAGGGGTTGAGACAGCCCTCTGCGAAGCTTCCGTTTCATTAATTTTATTAATAAAAATGTGAATTTGCATAAAGATCCGCAGTCTACTTATGAGATAGTAGGTTTCATTAGCTACCTCTGTTCGATAAATGTACTATTCACTGATCTTGCGAAGATACAAGTACGTATATGTTTTGGAGGTGCCATTAAATACCTTTCCCTAATTTCACTGAGACATTTCACTCGAAATTGAACACGTTTTGGCACACAATTACAGATTTTGTGCAAACTGGGGCAATAAATCCGGTTTTCAGTCCCTCTTTTTTCTTTAGCTACTGACTCTTTCTACATTCAAGGCGTCGGCAAACTACAATTAAATTTGAAAAACGATTCTCCTATTCCATAAATGCTCCTGACCGGACCCGGAGTAATGACATTTATCGAGTTTTCACTGTACATATCAAAATATCACTACTATTACTCATCTTCGAGGCTGCGTTCGTTGCAGCCATAACAAGCTATGATCTGTATAGGAATTGAGTATAGTGGAAGGTATGAGTAAGGCGTCATTTGTTTTTGACAACACGAGGAACGCAAATTAGTGAGATTAACGTCGTTGTGGCTGTTATTATCATTATCGTCGGATTAATACTTTGCGATTTTTGTTTCTGTTTAATTTAGAAATGAAAAAAGTTTAATGAAACATTTATCGAGTATAAAATTTTCAAGCCTGTAATTACAGGAAAAAATTGAAACAAAAGCTCTGGGGCATCTTACATACGTCTGAATTAAATATGTCTCTATTGTTGCAGCCGCCATTATAAACTTTCATGAGCCGCCACTGTATATGACCATTAATAAATACTGTTAAGAAAATATAAATTGATAGGTAAACAAGGATGTTAAAAAATGGCCAAATTTTGTATTGCTCCGTAACCTAAAGCATTGATGAGACATAATTTCTCAGGCCGAAAAGATGTACAAATTACAGTTGTAACTAAAAGATTTTAGGTCAATGCATATCGAAGGAGATTGCAAATGTTTATATTAATATGGTTCCCCTTCTTTAGATATTAAGTTTCACAGATATTGCGTCCTTATTGAAACAGAATGTAATTAACAGTTTTGTCAGTTTTAATATAATTAAAACATTGTTGAAGTTTTGTATTTCATGCGTTTAATTCAAAGTTAGGAATATGTAAAGTATTTGAACAATTTCCAACTTTTTACTCCATGAACTCTCCACTTTAATTACTTTTTTAATAACTTTCCCATTATATTTGCAGTAGATAATAGTGGATTCTAAAAAATGATGCGTTATCAATACTTTATGTTTCTGAACGATACTTTGGTCATTTTTTAACATCTTCCTTTCAATAAACACAAATTTTCAACTGTACCTAACCTAGTGTGAGATACTGTAAAATAATTGTTGTATACTGATTGTTTATAGATCATACTATTACTTTAAAAACTACAAATGATACATATTGATAGTAGGATTAAATCAAACTTCAACAATGTAGATAATAGTTATATGACTCTAGAGAGATGTTGGGTTATAAAGGGTTAACAAAGGAAGTTTGGGAGCATGAAAATTCAAAAATCATGAAACTTTGTGTACGAGTAGAGTAGGTCTTCCATAATATCTATTTTTCACTTTTACCATAATTTACTTTTACAGAATGTTATCACGTTTCACCCAAGTTAATGAGTCACCCAATTTATTGAATTTAAAATCAATATTAAACATTCAGGAAGCATACAAGGCGTCCTGAGAAACTGAGAAGAGCTATATCTCTAAAGTAGTTGGAGGTACAAAAAAATATTATAAAGCAAACTTATTGGACTATTTGATGCAATTTTTTAATCTCTACAAAAAAGTTACTTATGCTCTAAACCTAATAATTCAAGAGTTATAACACTCTCTAAAAGTGAATTATAACACGAATGAAAAATAAATGTTATGGATCGCGCATTATTTGTAGACAAAGTTTTGGAATTTTTAAAATTTCTGGGTTCATAATCTTTTCTTTTAAGTTCATTTTCCAAAATAACAAAAAGTAATCGGATTATAACATTTTGCTTTATTACAGTATTGGGACATTGGAACATTTCATTAAAATAAATTAATCTTTTTTTGTTCGTATGTGAACATTTTACTGAAAATACTATTCTTATAACCGAGCTTTGGGCTTATAGCTTTCCTTTCAAACACTTAGAGCGAATGAACTTTCAAATAATAATGTCATTAAGAATGTCATAAAAAGACAAGTACATGAACCATTGAATGTTTCTGTTGTTCATACTGTAACTTGAGTAAATGTTGAAGACATTCCCAGACATGGCTGTCAACGTATTAAAATAAAGCCTTCAGAAGAACAGAAAACTGAATAAATTACGCTTAAAACCAGCAATTTCAAAATACGTTTAATATATATGTTGTGCAATGACTTCAAAAAATAGACTTCATCAATTTCATCTTCTTTCTAATTCTTTTTAAGATCCGATTCGTTTTTGACTTATTTTTTAATGTGAACGAAATTTGAAACAATTAAATCAACTGAAAACTATTTTATCATACCTTTTTGGCTATTAAATCCTAAACTTTGCGACTTTTAGGAAAGATGACTTTATTGAAAAGATAATGAAAAAAAAAGTCGAATTTTTTAATTGGTCCACTTAAATACAATTTTAGATATAAATTGTATGTAATGACCTCTTTCTGCGAATGTCTTTGAAGGAGTGAAAATTTGTTTATATATAATGAAAGGATATGATCGCTTATCAGCTAAACAGTAACGAAATCAAAATAATTAGATAATTGGTCTCTAGGAGACACATTTCCAGCAAAATGATCAAACTTAATATATATGTAGTTCGTGTTTTCTCGAGAAAGAGCAGTTTTCAAACTTGTAGTATTCTTCTAAAAAGTATTAACAATATTCAATTTTTATATAGTAGCATTCCTAAATAATGTGCTTTTAGTATAAAGTTTTATTTCTGTAAAAATCGAACTGCAGACTTTAAAGCAATAGTGTATAGGAAACAAAAATACTTTGTGAACTCTGGAAAAATCCATCGGCTTAGGAAAAGATTTTTATCAAAAACCATTTGACAATAATTTCCAAAGATGTCAGCACTGCTGATTTTAATTTGCATAAAATCTATTGACAATTGAATTCTCTTGATCACTTAATGATTATTTTACCTTCACAAAGCAAGGACTTTTGAAACTGATCAGAATTCATTAAGCTTTACATAAAATTAATAGATAGTAATAGGTAGTTTGTGAATCATAATCCTCCATAGGATAAAACTCGCTAAATAGCTTCAGCTTTTGGTCGAAAAATATATTTCAATTTACATTTGTGCTAAGAAGAAAGAACAAAAAAATATTCTATTTCTATATGCATTTCTCAATACATATAATTTATAGAAGCCATTATGTTTGCTTGATCTTCGTAACATTTTATTTAATATTACAGATTATGTTTGCAGATTATCTGGTCTACAAGTAGCTGTTTCGATTCAACAATCTTTTTTTCTACTGTATTATGCTTTTCTGAGATGTTCGTTCATTACCTTTATTACTTTCATCACTTTCTCGAATTATTGTTTTTATTATAAATAATAATGACAGTTGTATGCTGGCACATTCAGCCTAATTTAGGAAACTAGTGTAATGTACGTCCTTTATACAGAACCCTAATATTATAAGTTACAACCTAATTAGAACTTATGAATTCACGATCTTCCATTCATGTAACTACTGTTATTTAGTTCGCAGTCGTAAGACAATCGCAGTGAGAATTTCTATTAATTTTTAATCGTTCTATTAATTTTTCAATATTGCCAAAGACTATTCCTGAGAACGATGGAAAAGGAACGTACCGTGCTTCCACGAGAATAAGGCACAGCGTGTTTACATCCCCACTCCTGTTGTAGTCCGCTGACTCGCAGGTATTGGTCGAAAACGTTGACGAAAATCGGTGACAGCCAATCAGCGGTCTGCAGCAAGAGTGGGGATGTAAACACGCTGTGCCTTCTTCTCGTGGAAGGACGATAGATGGATTAACTTCCTTTCGGGAAACACGTAGTCTATAAAATAACTGTATCTAAATAAACTGTTGCGTCCAGAAGAGTAAAGTGTCTCGAAGCTGCTGCGGTACAAAAGTGGAGTAGCATAAGCGACGGGAAGACAGGACTATACTCGAGTTCTCTGATATATTTACACATCAAA